CCGCTGTTCAGGCGAGAGAGCGCAGATGCGAGCATCGAATCGAGGCGGTTTGAAGGACCGAGTTCAAGTTGTCCGTAGACCTCGCCAAGCGAATACCGCCAAATGTGTATCTGAGTGCGCCTTAAGGCACAACCTAGGATGGGGTGAGCAAAATGTTGCGAATAAGCTGCTAAGGAGTATGGGCCGCAGGCGATGCGATACGAGGCGTCGTTGTGGCAGAAGAGCCTCTAGAAGCGATATTATCGGACCCCAAAGGCTGGTCCGTCCACCCTGCTGATGATCTAACCATGAAGTCTTCTCGCAGGTTTTGTGCTCTTTCGTCTCGGAGAATTTTTTCTTCTTCTCAGCGCCCATTATCTCCATTTCGCTGTCTAAGCCATATTTTCCATTACAATGCTAACAGAGATATCTATGTTTTCTGTGGTTCCGACATTTTTTTCTCAAAAGCCGATCCACTTCGCGCTCCTGCCTTCAGTATCGAGCGCTCCTAAAGGAAGATTCAACGATAAGGTTGATCGAAGAAGGGAAAGTTTACCTAGGGGAAAGACAAGCGGACTCCCAAGAGGTGGACCGACACGCAATTCGCAGCGAAGGATATGCCCCCGGCGATCTAGCATGGCCCTCTCCGCGGCGCTATCGGCGCGGTACGCCCACCGACTGGCTAACCACTCGCCGCAGGTCTCTAGCCGTTTAGCAGAGAGAGAGAGCTAGCGTTGAAGAGGGCACGATGAGAGTCGCATCAATGCGGAAATCAACGGCAAGAAAGGGTCCCATTTCTCGGGTTCTGGGCCGTTTCTCATGGTTTTTTCCTTCATCCCTGCACCACTGACCACCTCTACCTTATTTCAATGGGCTACTTTCTAATCGTACTCCGCCTTTAACTTTCAACGTGATCCTGGGGCGTGCCTTTATATAAAAGTAGACCGCCCTAGCTTTTTAATCCCTTGAAAAAATCAGCGCCATAATGAAGCAGTTACAACTGCAAGTGCTACGATGCACATGGTTTTTTGAATCGTATCGCTGATCTAATCCTACCTTGGTATGCCAATTCGACACTTCTCCAGGATTTCATAATTGTTATTGGATCCGCCTCAGAGAATAGATGAC